ACCAATTCGATCCCGACGATACAACTCATGAAGCCCACAACTACAACAGCACAGCGCGCCGATCACCTGATGCCGAGTTACCACCTCCAAACACCTCGCAAGACACCCTCCGCCTCGGCAACGACAGCGACGACGATGTCGTCGAAGTAACCAGCTTCCACGACTACGATCACCTTCACTACGAGAAGACCAACGAAACCGGTCTCTGCATCCTTGGGCTCGCCGTAGCTGTTCGCCACACCTCCCCCAAGGAACCCACCACCGTTCGCCAGGCCTTGTCTGGCCCCGAAAGTGAGAAATGGAAGGCAGCCATGGACGTAGAAGTCGCAGCACTCAAGAGCCGCGGAACGTGGAAGCTGGTTCCACGATCATCAGCGAAGGGGAGGAAAATTATCAGCGGCAAATGGGTCTTCCGAATCAAAACGCTTGCAGACGGCTCCATCGACAAGTACAAAGCAAGATGGGTGGTACGCGGGTTCGAGCAAACTTACATGGTGGACTTTGACCTCACCTACGCGCCTGTCGGGCGACACACCTCGGTGCGCATCCTCATCTGCATCGCAGCCGTCAAGCAGCGGCCACTCCGTCAAATCGACGTCGGCAGTGCATTCCTGTACGCCCCCGTCGACGCCATCATCTTCGTTGAGCAGCCGCATGCCTTCGAGGAGAGCGACGGCGCCGTCTGCCTCCTTCAAAAATCCCTCTATGGGATTAAGCAGGCACCTCGACTATGGCAGCAGTACCTGCGCACCGTCCTCACGGAGCTCGGATTCAAGCAACTACCGCACGACCTTGGAATGTACCGGAAGGAGTCGCGCGGCAAGTTCATTCTTCTCGTCGCCTACGTCGACGATCTCCTCTACACAGGCGACGACACGGAGCTGCTGGATCGGTTTGAGGCGGACATCAAAGAGAAGCTTGAAGTAACCATCAACCACAACGTCACCCAATTTCTGGGCCTCAACATCACCCAATCCGCCACCTCCATCCATCTCTCCGCCGCTAAATACGCGGAAACACTAGCGAAGAAATTCGTTGTCGCCCCGATTAATCTCACCACCCCCTTCCGCACTCCTCCTCCTAATCACGAACCCGACACAACCCCGCTCTCACTCGAGGACCATCGCCTCTATCAGCAACAGCTGGGGTGTCTCCTGTTCGCCGCCGTCACGTGCCAGCCCGATCTCTCCTACGTCGCGAGCCAGCTCGCACAGTACCTGAAGCGACCTGAAGGGGAGAATCTACTGGATCTACGCCGCGCACTCCAATACTTCGTTTCTACTCCTGACGTCGGACTCACCTACGAAGCTAACCTCACCGCTACTCTACAGCTTCACGGCTACGTTGACGCAGACCACGCGGGAGACATTGACAACAGACGCTCCCGTACAGGATTCATTTTTCAACTCCAACCTGCCGGATTCATCTCTTGGAACTCCCAGAAGCAGGAGCTCATTGCACTTTCGTCAGCTGAAGCTGAGTTCATCGCCGCCAGCGCAGCTGTTCGCGAAGGATTGTACCTGATGGAGCTCCTACAGGAAGCGAAAGTGACGATGAACGGGCACTTCACGTTACTCTGCAACAACCAGAGCGCGATCAAGATCGCGAACAAGCCCGGCTTCGTGAACCGCACGAAACACATCGCACTCCGTTACTTCTTCGTCAAGGACAAGATTGACAAGGGCAAGGTCAAACACACGCATTGCCCAACCGGTGACATGGCAGCAGATTTCTTGACCAAGAAGCTGCCACGTCAGAAGTTTCAGCACTGCACCAACCTCTGCGGGGTCTCGAAGAAATCCCACGTGGCTCACCTTCAGGAATGAAGGGGAGTGTTGGAATAACCGAAAGGTTATCATAACATTCTCGAAGGCTCTCCACTCGCGCGTCACTCCATAACGAAGTAACGTGCCTGTATCAGTATCGCAATAGCTCATATAGAGCATGCGGAAGGTCGAGGGTCACCCGAAGGTCAACAGTCGAAGACAGTCAAAGGTCGTGACCCTTGACTGCCCAGTAACCGCACTTAGTAGTTACGCGCTGCAACATGGTAACTGTTAAGAATAGCAATAGTCGTGGTTACTGTAGCAATGCAATTCGGTTAATAAGGGAATGTACCCCTCAGAGTACATGGCTAGCTAGGATTGCTATTTATTCCTTGTATCACTATCAACCATCTTGTTATCTTTCAATCTTATTGACAAGGTCATTCAGAGACTTCATAGTATTTCCTTAACTTAACAGCCTTATTCTGTTCACTACGATCCTTCAGATATAACAACAGTAATCACCATGGTTTGCCGTACCTGTTTCGAATAATTGTTATATTCTCCAACATTTTTTGCTGATTTCGCAACCCTCGTACGCTCTTTCAATCTCAAACACACTTAGGGTGCATTCCTGTGGGGACACTTGTGTCTCAATCCCCTTTTCCCGAGTCGCGCATGCAAATTTACCAAATGTTGTGTCACAAACGGCAAATGTACCGCGAAGTAAGGCGACTGATTGGCAGGGTAAATGGACGCTTTCTAGTGGTTGCGACCAATTGGATTGGGCCCACCCGTTTTCCCGCTGAGCAGGGTGCTTGGATGTGACCGTGTGGGCGGGGAGCACCAGTCGTTGGTCTGCCCAGGCAGAGCGGTTTCTTTTCCCGCTCGAATATGGACCCACTTCGGGCGTCCAGGTGCATGCGGTACATTAAGACATTTCGACACGCGTGCGACTTTCAGAGTGTGACGGGGCCTCGTGTAACTCGTCCGCGACACCAGCGCAATTCACGCCGACCAATGAAAAATACAGTGAAAATCGCACTAGTGCGATCCGCGTTTGTGACACAGTACAGTATATGCTGTTTTCGCGTGTCACAAAGTGATTGAGACACAAGTGTCCCCGCAGGAATGCACCCTTATGCTTCGAAACTATGAACAGTGACATTCCAGCCAACTGATTGGTTGTATGGGTTTCAGAGCATCAGAACTAGTCAAGAATAATGCTTGTGACGCGAAGTACATGAAGACGCGTCAAGATGAGAATGTACCCTAATAAAGAAATTCATTTTTCATTTGCCAATTTTGTTTCTAATTCGACAGAGAGATCTGATGGTAGGTTTCTTTGGCCAGCAGCTGGTTGTCCCTCCCGCACACTCCCACTTATCTAATACGGCACTGTATGTAAACTTACATTCTGTTCAACTTATTGCTCTGTGCCTACCAATGGTATGTGAAGTACATAACTGTAGTGATGTCCATGTTCAGAAGTTTGTTTGGGGTCAATGTTTACAAACCAGCCCATCTAAAAATAGATTTTCGAGTGATCATCATTTGGCCCATCCCAGATGTTCCTCGCCAGCTTTAGCTTTTCTTTTGGAAGATTCTTCTCCTGGGCAGATGTGGCCTCGGCTTATTGGCTCACTTCTGTTGCTTTCACTTTGAGCATGTGCGCCATGTCAGAGTTCTTCGATCACACGTGGAAACCCCAAATGGCCACAAAGTTCGATATGTTTTTTGCTGGAAAAGGGCGCTTCTGTCCATAGGTTTGATATCCATTCTCGTCCACGCCAGCAGGCAGTTTCACGCACCATCCACTTTATTCATCAGCAATCTACTGCTGCTCTAGAAGTTCATCCACTTCATATATCCGTAGATTTTCAGGATGCAGAAAAGGTATGTCATAATAGATTTTGGCTTTCTTAGACTCGTAATCGAGCTGCTTGTTGTTATTTTTACGAGACCAGGGCTTCGTGTATCGTGTGATTTATCATTGTTGGTTCCCAGGTCACCTGCCCGAGTAGAAGCTTCATCAATGCGATGAAAGGCCACCTCTTCCGAAGCTTCGATTGTTATGATTACTTGATATCTTCTGCTGAGCCAGGATGGACATTCAACACTCCTGAATGTTCTAGGTGCTGCCACGTGAGGCCTCCATTCCCTGTTTGTGGTTGCAGTTCATCTCCTGGTTGATCGTCACTTCACCCTAACGCGGTCTGTGTTGCACGAAAATCATCCGCACCATTGACTCTTTTCGGGAAAAGCGCAGCCTTTGCGTGGTTTCCAGATCCCTTGCGAAAATATTTTTCTGTCCCTGGGAATGCGAGGTTGACCTCCTGCCCAGAGGACACGGGAGATTCTTTTCACCTCTACCAATCACACAAAAGAAGTTTGGTTCTTACACGCGTCAGAAGCAATCCACGGATTTCCCGCGGATTGGCAACGCAACTCAGCCGCACTTTTCGACACCTCCACATCGAGCTTTTCCCTCTGTGACTCTTGAGCTGCCAGGGCAGGGTAGCCAGGCAAAGGAGATTTCTTTCGGGCAGGAGAGCGTTCGCACCAAGAGCAGCACAGCCACGGGACGATCACGGCCACGCAAGCCAGCAAAGCAGCGCGGGGGGACTAAGGCAGAATCCCCAACAACCGTCCCATTGCACGGCGGAGAATCGCTCCCGCGCGTGCCTGAAAGAGCATACGCAATTTCCCCCAACCTCGAGACCGCACGCGCTATCTCCGCTGGTCAGAGAGTGATCCAACGCTTCGCTCCCCCACTCCCCCTCTCTCCTCCCTCCAACCCTTGGCTGTGCGAGAGAACCTCGCTCATGATGCTTCCTCCCCTCGTCTTTGCCCTGCCGGTCAGAATCCTGTCAGACGAGCTCATAGAGCAGCAATATCCCTCACCTGCCCGCGCGAGTGGTGTATTCGGTGCGTGGTTCAGACAGGGCCGGGCAGAGCATGCACGGGGTAGCCAAAACACCATTTTCCAGCCTCATCCAGCGTTGCTAGTCTGCTTGCGTTTCAGCCAATCGTTCACTCGTGCCTATATCTCAGCTCCACGTTTAGCCATTGCTGAGATTACGCCTCGTCACTCAGCTTGCCAATTGCAAGTCACACGCACACACACAAGCTTCTTCTCACATTTACAGGACCAAGTAAGATTACCTCGTAGGCCAAGAAAGGCAAAAGTGGAATGTTCCTAGTCGAGTAAATATTAGGATATCGAACAGCGTCATGGCAACAATAGCCGGTCCCGTTTTAGACGCAGCGGATCCGGGATTCCGTCTCTTCGGTAGATTAATCGACAACGGTAGCGCTCCAAACTCGCCCGTCTCATCGCAGCCGTTGACCTGCGACGCCAATCAATCTCTGCCGTCATCTCTTCGTCAAGGGCCTCGACCCCGTGCCGAAGATAACGCTATTCTCGATTCCGCGATTCGTCAGACCTCGGATGAGTTTCGCAGAACCGCCGCGGCCGCCACTGCTGCAGAGAATAGAGGAGAGGAGCGCGAGGACGCAGAGGGGAACGACCGGGAGGAGAGCTCCGAGTCCCAAGACGCGTCGGCGGAGCGGGCGAAACAGGAAGAGCAGGAGCGGGAGCTGCAGCAGCAGGAGGGGGAGGGGCAGAAGCAGGGGGAAGGAGGTTGCGAGTTGAAGCGTCCAACCACCCCGCTGCCTTGTCCCCGTTGCAAGAGTCTCGCTACCAAGTTTTGTTACTTCAACAACTACAATCCGAACCAGCCGCGCCACTTCTGCCGAGCCTGCCAGCGCTACTGGACAGCCGGTGGCAATCTGCGAAACGTGCCTGTGGGTTCCGGTCGGCGAAAAAGCAAAGTTCCGTTACACCCGCAACAGCAACAGGGTAACCAGCAGCACCAGGCGTCGCATCAGGAAGCCCAGGCTCAGGCTCTCGCCCATGGCGATCCAGCCGCCGGCGTCTCGCCAGCAGCGCTGCTCGCCGCAGCGGCGGCGGCGGCGGCGGCAGCGACGGCAGTCCATTCACCTGCCGTCGGGGCAACCAATCCGTTAATGCCAGGTGTCGCCAGTCCCTTTCTCTCCGCTCTTTCCGGCGCGTCCCACGCTCTCTCCGTGCCCTCCGCGGCGTTACCTGCTGCCTACGGTCTCCCGCCAGCCGCGCTTTCCTCGCACGGAGCTTTCCCTCAGGCGGATCTCTTGCGCCAAGGCGTTTCCCCATACTCCCCGGGCCTCTCCGCGGGTCGGTCTCCCGCCAATGTGGCAGCGGCGGCGGCTGCGCGGACCATGGCGCTGGCGGCGGGCGCGGGGCACGTCCCTGCGGGGATCTTTCCGGGGATGGGCGGAATGGGTATGGGCATGGGCGCGGGCATGGGGGGCGCTGCTTCCGAGTACGCAGCCGCGGCTGCTGCTGCTGCTGCTGCTGCTGCGGCGGCGGCGGGCCAAGGAATGTCCTCTGCCGCTGCGGGCCAGGAAATGGCGTCTGCGGTTGCAGCAGCCGCCGCTGCCATGGCTGCTCAAGCTGCTTCAGGGGGTTCGGCCCTGCAGCCGTTCTCTCAATTCCAGATGCAGCAGTTTCTGCACCTGCAGCAGCAGCAACAACAGCAACACTACCAACGGCAGCAGCTGCAACAGCTTCAGCAACTGCAGCAACAGCAGCAATTGCAGCAGCTGCAGCAGCTGCAGCAACAAGCACACCTCGGGTCTTCCCTTGCCGCTGCATCATTGCACTCTCCCTTCTCCGCCTCCCCGTATAGTCACCTCGGCCAGTGGCCCTACGCCTCGCCACAAGCACACTGGCCAGGATCCGCTTCCGCTTCGGGTTTCCCCGATGCAGCCGCGTTCTCTGCTGCCGCCGCCGCCGCCGCTGCTGCGTCGGCAAGCAGTGCAGGTGCGGCTGCTGCTGGTGCTGTTGGTGGTGCTGGTGTGGGCGCTGGGGGTTTTCCCGGGTGGCCTGACCAGGCAACAATGGCCGCTGCTATGGCCGCTGCAGCAGCTGCGGCAGCTGCAGCTGCATCTGCACCGGCAGTGGGAGCACCCGCACCGGCAGTGGGAGCACCCGCACCGGCAATGGCAGCACCAGCACCAGCACTCGCAGCAGCAGCACTGCAAGCGCTACCAACACCACACGCGCTACCAGCTCCTGGTTTGTCTGGTTCTGGCGCCGCTGCTGCCTCTCTTCCCTCCTTGCCTTCCACCGTCGTTCCCCCCATTGCAGCCCGCTCGCTCTCTCAATCTGGATGTGAGATGACTCTTGCACCTCCAGCACCAGCAGGAGGAGCAGCAACACTGGCAGCAGCAGGAGCGGATGGTGCAGAGTTGATGGAGAAGCAGCGGCAAATGGCATGGCTGGCCGGTGCGTCTGGTGGAAGCATGGGTACAGGGTCAGGACAGGCAGCAGGGCACAGCACTGGGTGGGAGAATTTCCGTGCAGCAGTTGCCACAGCTGCTGCTACAGCTGCTGCTACAGCTTCTGCTGTTGCATCTGTAGCAGGCAGGCAAGGCGGGTTCGACCACAGTAGAGCTGTCCCCTCTCTGCCCCTTCTCCCCCTGCACTCCGCCTCTGGTTCCACCTCCCCTCCTCTCCTGCATCAAGCGCTTGCAGCCGCTGGCCCTGCTGCTACCGTCCCCGCTACAGCAGCTGCAGGTGTCCCGGCTACTCAAGCTGCGGCTACAGCTTCTGGGCAGCACAAGAGGCCGACAGGCACTGGTAACCAGGTGGTGGACTATCTTGGGAGAAGCCCTCCTGAACACCAGCAGCAACAGCAGCAGCAGCACCTTGGGGCCGGAGCAGAGGAGCCAGCTGCTAAGAGGCTGTGCTTGGGGACTTCTGGAGGTGATTTGGGAGACGGTGGAAAGGAGAAGGCAGGGCAAGAGGGTGTGCATAGTAAGAGATTCCTCAAGGCTAACCCTGTAGCAATGATGAGATACATGGTGTTTCAGGCTAATGGTTGATTGGACAATGTGCCTACTGTTTAGGTACCATCATTGTGTGTTACTGAATCAAGTTTCAGTGAACTTTAATACCTGACTGCAGATGCCGTGCCTTTAAAACCGAAGAACTAAGACTTGCATAAACAAACACCTAGCTGTCTGCCCCATTTGTATGTTTGTACTGTAATGGTGTAGGCTGCACCTCCCTTCCAAAAGCAAGACAGACGACCGTCCTGAAATGGGTGGTGAACTGGTGAACTGCAAGACAGCAAGTCATGAAAGACCCGAAGGAAAAGGGGTGTTCCGAGAATTGAACTCGGGACCTCTCGCACCCTAAGCGAGAATCATGCCACTAGACCAAACACCCTATGTTAACATACAAAACACTACAGTATTATTTGAATTCCAGCTCGGTTTTGCAGTTTCTCCAGACGAACCAAGCGACGCCGCCGTCCTGTGACAAACCTGCCGTGTCGCACGTCGGTCGCCACGCCCCTCGCTCCACAAACCCGATTGGTCAAGACCAAACCCGCTCGCCCCGTCTGCTTGGTCCGGAAAAAGGGACAGCAGATCTCGAGGAGGATGGTTTCGCTGGCCCCCGTAACTCTCGTCGTGAGTGGGGAGAGTGTCGGATGAGGATTTTGGGATTCAGCATTTCAGGCATTTCAGGTGTTCAGGCAATAGCGGTTGCAGCTTTATTAGTAGTGTCTAACGGTAGACCTGGATACATAGAGTCAGTAGTTGCGCTGTGTCCAAATGGCGTGAGAGTTTTTTAAGTTGACTAGTGGAAGATTTCTTGCGCTCCGTGTTGGCTTCACAAGGACACTTACGAGTGATACAGCTTCATGAAATTTGCAACCCGCTGAGAAGCATGCGTTGCGAGCCGTCATTATCCTGCTTCAGTTGTGCTGGTCATTATCATTCTCGATGAGTTTTCCCGTCTCTTCATAACTAAGTTCTCGCGCTGATTCCTCAACGGGCACCTGGTATGGTTGCAAGAGCCGTAGCGAGTTCCCTGTCCTAAACCTGAAAACGCTACTCCATTGGCCGAACCGCTCCTAGAGTCACGAAAGAAATGGCTGCAGGAATCGTAGCGGATTCCATTGGTGCCGGAAGTATCGGAACTGCGGAGCCGTCTCCTTTCGGATGGCCGCTAAACACTCTCGCTCGTGACGTGCCGGATCGCCATAATTTATCGATCGACGCAGCGCGGCGACGCAGTAGGGTTAGAGATGAGCCCGATTGGCCTCGCGAAAGCGGAGTTGGCGGAAGGGTGGCTTCGCGTGGCACGCAAGGATTGGACGGCCAACGCAAGCAGTCTCCACGTGGCGATTCTCAACGCGAGGGTGATGATGGTCCAGACATGTCGAGAAGGCGGAAGCGACACAGGTGCGTGCGTCGACAGGATGCGACGAGTCTGCGACGGAAACGCGACTTATATGCGGGTATGGGATGCTAGTTGTGGGAGGACACTTGAGCAATTGTTCCGTTTTCCTGTCATTTCTGTGCCCGTCCCACCTGTTTCGCCTGTCCCGCCTCTTTCGCCTGTCCTGCCTGTCCCAAGTGGCCGTATCCCTGTGCTTGTCCCCGTTGTTCTCGTGTCTTTCCTCCTCCCCCCACCATCCTGCAGCTATCAGGAGTTCAACCCTCCCACCTCCCGTGCTCCTAGTCTCGCCCGAACCACCCCTCCCCCGGCACCTCCGCCCAACGTCCCTCCACCCCTCGCCATTCCCATTCCCTTTCTCAACTTGCGCCCACGTTCCCGCTCCCCCAATCCCGCGCGCTCCGCCTCCCCCTCTGGGGCACGCTCCCGCTCCCGCTCTCGGTCGCGCTCCCCTCACCGCCCCTGGCGCTGGTTCACCGCCGATGCGCAAGACTCCCCGCGCCAGCCCCGTTCCCCTGGCCCAGCCCCCGACCCGCGGGGCGCTGCCCCCGCCGCTGCTGCCAGCGCAGGCGCAGGCTCCGCGGGTCCCTTTTCCGCGGCTGCTGCGCGGGTGACGGGCTTTTTCGCTAGGCCGCACTTCCGAAGCAGTTCTCCAGGTCCGGTCCGACCCAGGGCGCCGGAGCCTGAAGCGGAGGTATGTGATTATCCCGCTCCTGCAACGAGAGAGCTGGTGTCGTTTCGTGAGCTGGTGGCAGGGGCGAGAGAGAGGACGCACGCTAAGGCACAAGCGGAGAGTGCTATTAACGCGGATTTGTTCTCAGGCGAATCAGCGAGACACCAGCATGTGGAATCGAATCCGCGGAACCTTGTAGCGGGTACAAACGCGGACAACCTTACCGGATCTTCGATAGAGACTGTAGAGCGTTCGACAAGGGCAACAAAAAAACCTCCATCTATTCCACAACTTTCAGCTTATAGCGGGGGTGGCGCGGACAGGGAACCCAGCAGCGATCCGTACTACGTGCCTGGTGCCGCTTACTACGACAGCTTTCAAGCTGCCAGCGCGGAGAAAAGGAAACCTGCGGAGGAACGGCGGCAGCGCAGGAAGGCGCGGGCTGGTGGGGATGCAGATGTAGCAAGGACTGGCGGCGGTGGTAGCAGCGGCGTTGGTAGCAGCGGGGGCGTTGGCCCCAGCAGCAGAGGGGGAGGTGTAGGGGCTGCAGCGGAAAGTGGGTGGGAGGAGGGGTGGGTGAGTCCAGAGGAGAATCCGTATCTGAGGCCTGACGGGACTTACTACAGCACTCCGGTGGCTGGCAAAGGAAGGAAAGAGAGAGAGGTGAGAGAGGCGCTTCGAGAGAGTGAGCAGCAAGAGGTGGCTCGAGATGGTGAGCGGAGGGTGGTGGTTCCGGAAGGGAAGCAGGGAGGATTGTCCCCGGACGCGCAGCAAGGGGGGTTGTTGTCCCCTGAAGGGGGGCAGGGAGGGCTATCCCCTGAAGGGCGGCAAGGGGGGTTGTCCCCTGATGGTGCCAGTTCCGACAGCCACATTGACGCGTCCTCCCCACTGCCGCTCCCCCAAACGTACCTTCCGAACGCTGACTATGCTGGTTTTGCCGGGTATGGCGGGTATGGCAGCTGCGGTAGTGACTCCTCCCCCACCATGTTTCCCCATCACCTCCCCTCGCACCCCCACGATCCCGCGTGCCTGTCGCCCCCGTCTGACCCCCACGCGCACCACACTGTTTCTGACCAGCGCTCTGATGCCCCCCCACGTGACTCGCAGCAGCAATACCCTCTCTCCCACCACCCACACGCTTCCCAGCAGCACCAGCACCAGCAGCAGCAGCAGCAAGCCTACCAAGGTCCCTCCCACCAGCACCAGCAACAGCAGCCGCAGCAGCAGCAGCAGAACAACGCCCCGCCAGCAGCAGCCTATCTGCTGCGCAGAACGCCGTCCGCTCTGAACCGCTTCTCCCTGCCGCGCAAGCCTGGGGAGGACGAGGAGCAGGAGCACCACACGCGGGGCACAGGGTCCAAGCGGCATGCTGAGAGTGGCGTTGGGCGGCTGAGCAGCAGAGGTAGCAGCCGCAGAGGTGCGGCGGAGGCATCAGGACTAGGTGAGGCTCGGCATCTGGCTGGCCTGGTTGGCTCGGACGGTGCCACAGCTGGTTGGTCGACAAGGGGAGGACCGGAGGGGTATCAGCAGGAGCAGCAGTGGGAGGAAGTGGAGAGAGGGGATGGAGTGAGCGAGGTGCCTTTTCACGAGATCGTGGCGGGAGCAAGGCTGAGGTCTGACTCTTCCCTCTCCGTGTCGCACAATTCTCTCTCCATGTTGTCACATAAGTCCCTCTCTATTCCCTCGCACACATCAGGTGAGCAACAGCCGCCTGCAGCAGCAGCAGCATCCGTTCAATCCGCGTCCGCTGCTGACGTGGCTCCGTCCCTCGTCTCGTTCGTGCCTCTCCCCCTGAGCACGTACAGTGAGGGCGGGTTGGGGGGAGAGGAGGGTGCTGGCGGGGGGGATGGGGGAGGGAAGGGGGGAAGAGGAGGGGTGGGGGGAGAGGAGAAAGCGGAGGAGAGGGAGGGGGAGTGGGAGGGGGAGATGATGCGGAAGGACGGCGCTGGGGAGGAGAGGGCGGGAGAAGAGACGAATGGGCCCGAAGGGAGGAGGGCGGGGCGAGCAGGAGGGGCCTTAGGCGGCTGGTCGAAAGGGAGGAGGGGGACATCGGAGATTGAAGAGGTGGTGGAAGGGGAGGGGGAGAGGGCGGACGGGCAAGGAGAGAGGTGGGGAGAGGGGGCGGGAGGAGAGGGAGAAGGAATGAGGTGGGCGAGGAGGGAGGAGGGGAGGGACTTGTCGAAAGGAGACAGGTGGGATGCGGAGGGGAGGGATGTGGGGCAGCAGGTGCATGAAAACGACGACGACCCTTGGATGCAGCGGCTGGGGCTGCTTCAGGTGAAACCTCAGGTGGAAGCTCAGGTGGAACCATTAGAGCATGCGGACGTGCATGCTAGCGGGAAGGAGCGCAGGGAAGCAGTGACAGGAACTCAAGAGCAGGAGCAGGAGGAGGGGGGGTACAGGGAGAGGAGTGAGAGGCTGGAGGAGAGGCAGAGGCGGTATGAGGATGGGCTTACGCGGGCGGAGGCAGAGCAGCGAATGGAGGGTGCGCGGGGCAGAGAAGAGGGAGAGGTGGGGTTGATGGAGGGGATGGGCGGAGAGCGAGGTAGGGAGCAGCATGGTGCTGATGCTGGGTCCCGTGCTGGTGGCACCGCTTATGGCGCTGATGCTGATGCTGATGGTGCGAGTGGTGGCGCTAATGGTGGTGTTGGTGATTACAGCAGTGGGATGGATGTGGAACGCCATGCCGGTCCGTCCAATGACGTAAAGGAACGCAGTAGAGACATCTCAAATGGCGCAGGTGCATCAGGTGCTGCTGCTGCTGCTGCTGCTGCTGCTGCGGCTGCGGTTCCCATGCATGCGCATGCGTCAGGTGGCGAAGGTGATGCTGCTGATGCTACAGCGGCTCCCATGCATGTGTATGCGTCAGAACCAGCCGATCTTGAGCCACATGCTATGGGCGCCCCACCAGACCTGCTGCCGCCTGCACAGAAAGCCAAGGGGCAACATGCCATGGGTTACCACCCGCACAGCGTTACTCATCCCCACACACCAATTCACCCATCGAGCCCCACCACCGTTCTGCACACCACTCATTCTCACTCTACTCATTCTCACACTGCTCACGCCCATACTGCTCACGAACACACGTATCCGCACTCGCAGCTGCTCTCGCCCGCACACCCCCAGTCACACGCCCTGCTCCCCACCAGTCCGCCCGGCGACCCCTTTGCGCCCCTGCCTGCTGCTCTGCGCGCTGGGCTGCTCAGACGGCTAAAGGAGGCCGACTCTGCTGCTTCCCTCAAGGAGGACAGCCCCTTCAATCCCACTGCCGGCCCTGCCACCCCTGCTGCTGCTGCTGGGTCTACCAGCGCTGCTGGTGCTGTGGATGGGGCAGGTGGAGGTCCCCTTATAAGCAGGTCCGCTAAGGGCATTTTGTGTCGGACCAAGGTGCTCAAAGCAGAGGAGGGAGGGGGCAGGCGGGAAGGGGGCAGGGGGGAAGGGGGCAGGGGGGAAGGGGGCAGGCGGGAAGGTGCTACTGAAGGTGCTACTGAAGGTGCTGCGCGTGTTGCTGGTAGTGATCGGGCTAGTGCTGATGGCGCTGGCGAATCCGCTGCTGCTGATTCCGATGCTGCAGCTGCTGCCAAGGCTGGTCTTCTCCCCCCGAGCCTGGTCGAAGCTGTGTTTAAGCCTGGCGCTTTGGGTCGGGCGGCTACAGCCTACCGCTACAGGGGAGGGGGCGACTTCCTGTTTCGCACCCTGGCCACGCTACAGGCGGATGGGGAGGAGAGGCAGGGGGAGGGGGAGCGGAAGGGGGAGCTGGAAGGGGAGGGGGAGAGGCATGGGGAAGGGGAGAGGGAGGTGGGTCAGGGTGGAGGAAATAGTGGAGCAGGGAGCACTGATGCATCTGCTGCTGCTGCTGCCGCTGCTACTGGTTCGGCTGCTGCTGCTGCAGAGGTAACTAGAGAGCAGCAAAGCAGAGCCAGTGACAGTCAGAGGACTGTAGGCACGGACGGGAAAGGGGAGAAAGGAGAGATGGGAGGGACGGATAGGACAGAAGGGAAGAGAGAGACGGGAGGGAGGAGAGAGAAGGGAGGGAGGGAGGCGGAGGGGGAGGAGGATGAAGCATGCGATTATGAAGAGGAGGCAAGGGCTGTGGCCCTCTCTCTCTTTGGCTTTCCCCACACGCTCAATGACTTTGGGGGGCTTCTAGAGGGTGACGGGCAGGTAGGCGCGTCCGGGCAGAGGGAAAAGATTCAGGAGCTGCCCGGGCGAGGTGGCGGCAGGAGCGGGGGAGCAAGAGCGGGGGGTGTGGAGGTGAGGGATGGGGAGAGAAGGGAAGTGGGGAGGGGGGGAAAGAGAGGCGAGAGGGGGGGGGGCAGGGGCGGAGCCAGGGGAGGGGGGCGAGAGGGCAGGTACAGGGGAGGAGGAAGGGGGCGAGGAGGAAGGGGGCGAGGGGGAAGAGAGCGCGGTGCAGCAGAGTCTGAGGCAGTTAGAGCAGGCGCTAGCAGCGGGGAGAATGCCCGTGGACGCTGCTGCCCTCCGCCACGAGCTGCTGCTGCTCATGGGGGGCGGCGCGGGGCATGGGGCTGTGGCAGGGGAAAGCGGGGGGGAGGTGGGGGGAAGCCGGGGGGAGATGGGAAGAGGCCAGAGGGAGATGGAAGGAAGCAGAGGGGAGATGGAGGGAGGAAGGGGGGAAGTGGGGGATGGGGAGATGGGGATGACGATGGGGGGACGGGGGGAGGAGAGGGCGGGGGGAATGGGGTCGAGGGGGCGAGGCAGGTGGGAGGTGAGGGGTGAGGGGATGGAGCAGTGGTGGGAGGGTGGGAGGGAGGAAAGGGAGAGTGAGAGGGGAAGGGAGGAAGGGGAGAGTGAGGGAGGCCTTGGGAGTGAGGGGGGAGGAGAGGTGGAAGAGTATGGAGGGGAGTTGTGGAGGGACGACAGCAGTTCAAATCCCACCACCGCTGCCGCTGCCGCTGCCGCTGCTGCTGCTGCTGCTGCTGCTGCTGCTGCCATTAGTGCCATTGATGCTGCTAGCACTGCGATTGGTGCCCAGGGTAGAGGTGAGGGCCGAGAGGAGAACACGTGGGAGGGTGGTGTGAGCGATGAGAAACGGCAGCAGGTACTGGCGCTAGAGGCGCCTGAGAAGGTCCAGAGTGGAGAGGGCGAGGGAGAGACGGTGGAGGTGGGGTGGGGAGGCACAGGCGTGTGTGAGGGAGGGGAGGATCCTGAGGGGACTGAGAAGGTGCAGAGTGTGGAGGGCGAGGGTGAGATGGTGGAGGCAGGGTGGGATAGAGAGGGAGCGAGAGAGGGTATGAGTGCAGGCGTGGGTGAGGGGGCAAGCGAGGGCATGGGTGAGGGAGTGAGTGAGGGGGTGGGTGAGGGAGGGGAGGAGGAGGAGGAGGAATGGAGTGAGGAGGACGTACGTTCTCTGGAGATGCTGCGAGAGGAGACTTTACTGCACCCCGTGCAGGCAGTGCAGGCAGCAGCAGCAACAGCAGCAGAAACAGGGGGCGAGGGGCGTGCACACAGCAGCAGCGAGGGGCGTGCACACAGCAGCAGCGCCCTGCCTGCTGCTCGCCCTGCCTCAGCTTCTGGGTTGTCGTCGGTAGCGGGGGGAGGGGGGGCAGGGGGGTTGTCGTCGGCGTGGCACTGGTTGCAGCAGGTGGAGTTGGCGGAGGCAGATGGGCACGTGCCTGTGGCGCTGCAACTGTTCGACCTTGCAGAGAAGTGCGATGCTCAGGTGAGGCCTGCCAGTGTGACGCTCAGGTGGGTGACAGGCTGGTTACCATGTAACGTGCATGGCCGCAGCAGGTGGAGATGGCGGAGGCTGATGGGCACGTGCCTGTGGCGCTGCAGCTGTTCGACCTGGCAGAGAAGTGCGATGCTCAGGTGGGTGGCTGGAGGGTGTTTCTGAGATTTCCTGTGCCCATCAAAGCATCTGTCTGCTGCATAGCTCTCTTCCAGTGGCCCCTGCTGTACATCTGATCACTCTTCTCTCTCCTCCCCTCATCTCCCTCCCTCCCCCCTCATCTGCTTCTCCCCATTCCTCGCAGCCTACCTATGCCCTCATCGTCTCATGCACTGTCTTCATGCCTTAATGCAACGCCATGGCCCTTTTCAGTGAACCCTTGTTGTGCATCTGATAACTCTCCTCTCCCCTCCCTTTCTCTTCCTCCCCCCTCATCTTCTGGTTCCCCTTTCCTCGCAGCCGGCCTCGGCTCTCATCGCTGCACGCACTGCCTTCATGCAACGCCACGGCCTGCTGCCCACTCAACAGCAACATCAACATCAGCACGACTACAAGCATGAGCAGGAGCAGGAGGAGGAGCAGGGGCATCAACGTCTATATAAAAATCCACAGGAGCTATCGCATGCAGCCAGGGATGCATCCACTCCTGCTGCTCCTCCAGCCAAGTCACAGCCCAGTGCTGCTGCTGCTGCTGCTGCTGCAAGAGAGGCACAGCTGCCCACCGCTGCGCACAATGCAAGCACTGCAGCAACAACAGCTGAACCAGCCCCAGCAGCAACAGCACATGCAGCAACAGCAGGCGCTGCTTCTCCTCCGCTCCTCCCCATCTCTAGCTCTCACAAGCAATCCACCCTTCCCATGCCTCCATCCAACCCCTCCTCCTCCCCCTTCCCTCCTACTGACCCCGCCGGTCTCTCCTCTCCCCCTCCCGCGTCCTCACCCCTCCTCCTACCCCCACCTGAACCTTCCGCCATATCCTCTCCCCTGCCCTCACACTCTCCCCTCCCCCTGCCCCCCCGCCTGGCGCCTGTGCTGCGCCCCTGCCGCTCGTCCCACCACCTCGTGGCTGTGTATGACCTCCAGGGCGCGCGGGTCAGTGGTGAGGAGTGCAGTGAGCTGGGAGGGGGGACGGGCGACGGGGGTAGTGGAGAGGATAGCAGAGAAGCAGGAGGGTGGGAAGGCGAGAGGGACATGGGAGGGAATGTGAATCCAGAATGGGAAGCGGGAGGTGGTGGAATAACAGCAGGTGTGGGTGGGAGCCGGGAGCGAGAGGCAGAGGCAGCAGCAGGGGAAGGGGTGTTGAGGTTGCAACGGCTGGTGGGAGGAGTGGAGGGAGCATCAGGAGCAGTAGGAGAGGCGAGTGTGAGGGATGCAGGAGGAGAGGGAAGGGCGGGTGTGGGAACAGCAGGAGGAGAGGGAGGGGTGAGCGTGGGAACAGCAGGAGGAGAGGGAGGGGTGAGCGTGGGAACAGCAGGAGGAGAGGGAGGGGTGAGCGTGGGAACTCCCTCACCCGTGAGGGCTTGGAGTCGAGGGGCACGGGAGCGGGAGAGGGAGAGGGAGAGGGAGATCACTGCAGGGATCTCTTCAGAAATCACCAAGGGTTCATATGATGGTGCTGATAACATCCCCAGCACAGCAGCGTTTGGAAGCCCATTCAAGGCAGCAGGTGCAGCAGCAGCAGGAGCCGCCTCAGGCTCTCCCGCCCGGCCCCCCTCGTCTGCTCTGTCCCCCATAAAACCATCCTCGATAAACGCCGCGGCAGGGGCGTCGGGCGCAGCAGCATCAGGTGGAGTGGGGTACTGGCCGTCTCCCTCTGCCTCGCCCTCGCCTGCTCGTGCTGCCCGCACGGCCCTCTTCTTTGAAACCGTCAAGAAGGCTGCAGGAGTAACGGCGGAGGCAGCAGCGGAGGAGGGGAGTGGCGCCGGCAGGGATACTCGGCGGAGGGAGGGGGCGAGTGCAGGGCAAGGCGCGGTGGGGGGGGAGGATGGCATGTCAGGTGTAGGAAGGAGTGGGGGAGGGTTGGTTAGCAGCAGTTTTGGGGGGGCTGGTGGGTGTTCTGGGGTGGGGGGTGGGACCTCTGGTGTGGGGGGGGGTAGTCCCAGTGTGCTGGAGAAGCTGAGGCGAGCCAAGGCTCAGCTGATGCAGCTGCAGCAGAATTACCTCAGAGACCCGCCACCGCACTCCACCGCCTCGTACTCCTCCTCGCCTTCAGGTGCTACCACGGGGAATTCACCCTCGCTGCAGGTTCAGCCAGATGTGAGAAGAGCAGAGGGTGGTTCTGGAACTGCTCAGGTGGGAACAACAGCAGCAGGGAGAGAAGGCATAGAGGCGGGAGGAAGGGGGACAGCAGCAGAAGCTATTGAGGAAGCCACAGCTATAGCAGCAGCAGAAGCAGAAAGAGGTACTGGAAGAAGAACAGCAGAGGGGGCGTTTGGAGCAGCACGAGCAGCAGGAGCAGGAGGAGCAGCAGGAGCAGCCACTGGTGTTAGTGTAGGATCTGAATCCCCATCCTCCTCTCCCCACATCATCTCCCTCCCTTCATCCGCCTACTCTCATTCCTCCTCTGCCGCTTCCCCTGGGGTCATCACCCCACTCTCTCTCGACCGCACCCCCAGCAGCAGCGCTCAGAGCCAGCGCTCCGAACCTGACCCGCTGCTGCTTGGGCCCACCCCCGCCCGAACCGACGTGGCTCGGTATGAGAAGGCTCGGAAGGGCCTGCCGAGCCTGGACGAGGAGGCGCCGATTGCGGGGTGGAGCTCGGACGAGGGTGGGGGGTTAGGTTCGGGGAGAAGGGGTGGAGGAGATGTGAGGGATGGAGCAAGAGAAAGGGCAGAGGAGGGGGGAGAAGCAGGGGCAGGAGATGGGAGAGAGGCAGGAGGAGCAGCAGCGGAAGGGAGGGGAAGAGACGAGGGTAAAGCAAATATTGGTGGGGAGGAGGCAGAGGGAGGAGGAGGATCGAGCGTACGAGCAGTGTCGCCCGTGAGAGGGGGATGGAGCAGAGGGTCAGGAGGCGTGGGGATGACCGGAGGGCCACTTGGGAAGGGAGCAGCAGCTACTGGTGCAAGGCCAGTTGCTGGGGGTGTGGGGGCAGGAGGGGTAGAAGCAGAAGGAAGTGAAAGAACGGCAGGAACAGGAGGAGGAGGAGAAGGAGGAGGAGAAGGAGGAGGAGAAGGAGGAGGGGGCGAGGCGATCGATGCTGCAACTGCTCAGCCGATGGCGTGGAAATCAGGTGAGAAGGAAGCTGTGCAAGTGAGGATGGAGTGGTAGGCATGGCATGGAGAAGGGAAGCTGTGTGGAAACAAAAGGAGTCACCTCACCAAGAGTTGAGATTTTGAAATGTCCAGCAACAAGGGGGACTCAGGATGTTTGGCCTGTGAAAGGTGGAGGTGCTTTGACTGCCTGCACTCGTACCTCTTCCCTTCTCATTGTGTGGTTCTTTCTCTCACTCCTCTCCCCCCTCCCATCGCCTCCCCACAGGAGCCAATCAGGGCATGACACTTCAGCAGCGAATGAGAGCGAGGAGGGAGGGAACACAGGGAGGAGGGGGAGGGGGGGCAGCAGCTGGGAGGAGACGGCAGTGGGTGAGGTGAAAGAGGGATTAAGAGGAGGCAAGAGACAAAGACTAGAATTGGCTGAGGAACCAGGAAAAGGGTGTGTGTGTATTTAGATAGGGCATTTTTTAAGCTTTGAGAGGTTTTGAGTTTGCCAGAACGGACCACTAATATCCATCACTAATCTTAACATGCATTGATCCTGTGAGTTTGTAACTTGTTATTCTAGACCGAGGCTTGTTAATGTACACATATACGCCCTACCGCGAATGCGACATTCTGTATATCTTCGCACACGGGAAGAAGCTCACAAACGGGGATGATCACATGTTTCGAAAGGCATTGTCCCAGTTGAGCCATGGATATTCTGCTAGGAGCGTAGTATCAGTGGCATGATTGACTGGCATTTTGTACAACGAGCTTTATTCTGATCGCGTTTCGAAGTTAGTCGGCACTTGTCAGAGGCGTGATTTGGCCTCAACTAGCTCTCCATGGCGTCGCGGTCCAATAACGAACGGTCGAATATCGGGATGTCGGAGATCATATTCCTAGGAACGGGGTCGTCGACGGGAGTCCCGACTCCTCTTTGCGTCACACAGCCGACTGACCCGCCGTGTGCCGTGTGCCACAAGGCGCTCGCGGAACCGCCCGAACGAAACCCGAATTACTGGTAATGAGCGAATTCGGGCTTCTGGTGATTGCTTGTAACATGGCGTGCTGGTTACCGCCGTGTGCCGTATTGGTAACCGTTTATCGCGTCGCTTCTGTCCCGTCTCGCATTCCAGGATGGCGAGAATTTAACTTCAGCCGTACTTTGCTCGTAACATGCGACCTGCTGGTAACATGCATTTGCTGTTTCCTCGCCTGCAGATGCAACCCGTCGCTTATGATTCGATACCGGTGCCGATCTTATACAGCGGATGGAGGTGTGACTGTACGCAGTGACCTCGCAGACAAGGGTTGTGATTCCAACGGAATGGCCCAGCCGAGTTCCAGAGAGGCGGCTGATGGCTCAGGTGGTGTTTCCGCACTCCTGACTGATTCAGTCAATCTGACGGATTCTGTCAAGCTGACGGATTCCGTCAGCCTGGATCTGGCTCCTGGCGAGGAGTGGCGGCACATTCAGATTGACGCGGGCAAGTGCTTTCGGGAGCAGGTGCTGCGGTGGTTCGTGCGCTGCAAGATACCCACCATTGACGCGGTATGGCTGCAGGATACCCACCGTTGAATGGGTTATGGATGCAAGATACCCTCCAATGCCCATCCTGAGTCACCTTTTCCTCTCTCAATCCCGCTCTTTCCTAAGTCAACCCCACTGAATCTGCACAACGTTCCTCCCTCCCCATTACCTCTCTTTCCTTCCCATTCCCCTTCCCCATCATTCTCTCTCGCCTTGTCCCCCCTCCCCTTTCTCCCCCGCCTCTCCCCTCCCTCTTCCCCCCAACTTTCTCCTCTCCCCCCTTCTTCTCACTACAGCTGATTCTCACGCATGAGCACGCTGACGCCATATTGGGCCTGGATGACGTCAGAGGGCTGCAGCGCTTTCCCCGCCATGCAGCAGACCACGTGGAGCCACTCTCCGTCTTCCTCTCCCGCCACTGCATGGCCAGGTCAGTGCCCTCGCCTTCTCCAGCGCCCCTACGGCATGGCCAGGTGCATGCATGATGCCCGCACCTGTGCAGTGCTCTTCCCCAACTCTCCCCGCCACCCAGCAGACCACGTGGAGCCACTCTCTGTCTTCCTCTCCCACCGCTGCATGGCCAGGTAAGTGGGCTCCGTACCTGGGATTCCCCCACTGCCATGGCATGGCCAGGTAAGTGGGCTCCGTACCTGGGATTCCCCCACTGCCATGGCATGGCCAGGTAAGTGGGCTCCGTACCTGGGATTCCCCCACTGCCATGGCATGGCCAGGTAAGTGGGCTCCGTACCTGGGATTCCCCCACTGCCATGGCATGGCCAGGTAAGTGGGCTCCGTACCTGGGATTCCCCCACTGCCATGGCATGGCCAGGTGCGACTAGTGAGCCCTGCACCCCGTTCTCCTACACTTGCAACGTTCTCGTAACTGCGTTTTCCCCCTATTCCTGACGTTTCCGTAGCTGCAGTCTCCCCCACTCACGACGTTTCCGTACCTGCGTGCTTCACCCTGTCGTTCTCACCTCCCTCATCCTCTCACCCCCTCCCTCCTGCCCCTTTCCACCCACAAGCAGCGTTCGAGACAAGTTCCCCTACCTCACTCTCACACCCCCTCGCCCTGCTCCCTCGCTCCAACCTCCTTCCGCTGCCCCGACTCCTGATGCACTAGCTGTTGCAACTGCTGCACCAGCTGCTGCTGCTACTGCTGCCGCTGCTGCCACTGCTGCTGCCACTGGTGACCAGTCATCTGGGGTGATCCAGGATACTTCACTTGAGGGAAGAGCAGCAGGTGCCGGGGGGGTGGCGGAGCAAGGAAGGGGGGCTGTGGAGAAAGTATCTCGTCGGGTGTCTCGAGTCGACTGGCAGATTATTCAACAGAGTGTTGCTGCTCCTTTTAACGCGGCTGGCCTGACAGTCACTCCCCTTCCGGTATGGGTCACATGCAGTCGTGCCCCTCCCTCGCACACATGCTGCCGGCACGACATCGCTGTTGATCCACTGCAAATGCTGCACCATAACTATCATGTACCATGCACTATCCATTCTGCACCATTACTTCCATGCAACATACTCTGCAGGTGCACTATCCATTCTGCACCACACTTACGTCACACCAACCCACCCTCCACGCCTTTGCCATCCATGCAACCTTCTGTGCAGGTGCAACACGGAGAGGACTACATAGCGTTGGGGTTTGAGTTTGGCAGTCATGATCGTGTGGTTTACATGTCAGATGTCTCATGGATCCCCGACACCACACTCGCCTGTACGACCCACTCTCCACGCGTTTGCCATCCATGCTCTCTGAATTTTGCCAACATCACTCACATGCATGCTTTCAATCTCACGTGCATGCTTTCAATCTCACATGCATGCTTTCAATCTCACGTGCATGCTTTCAATCTCACGTGCATGCTTTCAATCTCACATGCATGCTTTCAATCTCACGTGCATGTTTTCAATCTCACATGCATGCTTTCAATCTCACGTGCATGCCTTCAATCTCACATGCATGCTTTCAATCTCACGTGCATGCTTTCAATCTCACGTGCATGCTTTCAATCTCACGTGCATGCTTTCAATCTCACGTGCATGCTTTCAATCTCACGTGCATGCTTTCAATCTCACATGCTCAATCTCACATGCATGCTTTCACATTTCCCATGAATGCTCTCTGCTGCCTCTCTCCTGCCTCCCTGCTCCCCGTTTTCCCCTTCCTTCCTGCACCATCTGCGTATCCAGACTTGAAATCCAGGCAGCAGCTTTTGGGTCGAATTCACATTCTCGTTATTGACTCACTCTATTTTGTACGTGCTAATGGCCGTTATCATTCTTGCATGTGCCACATCCTTCTGTTCTTGCTTTTACTCATTATTCATTGCCATGACCTTTTCCACCGCTTGTGGATTAAAAATTGTGCTTTGCTGTCCCTCGATGGTCCCTTTTTTTTCTTCGTATCATAATCCGCAATTTCATGGCCTTGTGGGATGAATGTGCAGGATCACCCGCATGCAACTCATTTTCATCTTCCTCAGGTGCTTGCCTCCCTTGCATTACTGCCATCACACCCGTCTTTATAGAAGCTATTGATGTCATGCGCTTTTATATGCTTTTTCTTGTCCCACAGTTTCCTAAAGTGTAACCGCTCCCCCTTTTTTTTATTCGTTTTCATTGTGCCACTCCTTTCCCTATACCATTCTACATCATCCCTACAAGACCCTGGATGCAATCCGAAGTTTGAGACCAAAGCATGCCTTCATAGTTGGCATGACTCATGAGTTTGACCACCACAAAGTCAATTTACTGCTTCGCGAATGGTCCAAGTACGTGTCATTACTCCCCTTTTTAGTCGCCATACCATATCTACATGTGCTAGTAGTGGTTCTGGCATTTATGCGACTAACTTGGCTCACTTGTATGCCCCTTTCTGGTCCTGCAGGGAAGAGATGAACGTACAACTGGCTCATGATGGTCTTTGCATCCCTGTGCTCCTATAACATCGTCCTTGGTTGGCTATATTATTATGACAGAATGGTTGGGTATATCTTATGTTTTAATATCATTTCGTATGGAAAGTTTGGGTTACTGCGTTGTTATTAAAGAAGCTCCCATGTCGAAGATACTGGCTTGGTTTGGGAGTGGATTGTGTGGTGTGGAGGGGCGATGCATTCGTTCGTACACGAATTGCGCGAATTCGATTTCGGGCAGTCGTTGTTGCAAGAACTTTCAGGGTTGCGCCCAGCTCCTGGCTGGTAGTTTGGGTAAAAGTGATGGTGTTTCTCTGCACTGGGAATTAACTGCCCGCAATCAAAGGAAAAGCTAGCTGTTTGACGCACTGTCAAGTTTAGTTGAGTGCCATTCGTACTCATGATTGCGACAGATTTAGGCAACCTAGTTCGATTCGACCATCTTGCCGGGTTGATTGCAATTTCACGTGATTCTGGTTCATGTTAAACCACGTGTCACTTGTGCAAAATCTCGCGTGACGTCAGATGTGACTTCCTAGTAATCTGAAGTTTGCTGGCTTGGGTTCGCATGAAAACATAGGTATTTCTATGTAAATTCGTTAATTGTTCTGCCCATGAATTGGAGATTATACGACATGATCTGGCATATGATATTCTGTCGTCAAGCCCACGTGAATATCCCTGCCCTTCGGGGAAGAACCTCGGTTGTTGAGTCCTAGCCAGGTTCACAGGCTTCATCCATTCCTGTCAAACCAAACAAGGGCCACATCAGCGCCAACCATTCACAAAGAAGCCAGTCGAGAAATGCGGTAGCGCTCCACGTGATATACTGCGAAACCATTCGTCCGACCCCCAAGTTTCCGGAAAGCGACACGGCTAAGCAGAATTCTCCGCGTCTGCGGTCCCAGAGGAACAGGCATAAGCTTCGGCTCTCTGGAAGGTCACAAAAGTGCATCGAGCCATCCACACGAGGGTGGACGGACCCGATTGGTCTTGCTTGTGTGGCTAGTATCTAGGTCGAGCTCACCTCCCACCAAGCTCCGAGACGCGTTTCGAATGGCTCTCAATTTCTCATGATCGACTTTCGCGTAGTTTTCTCGGGTTTCCACATTCCCTAAGCCACACAGGTCTAACAATCAAAGTAGCGGCGCGGCCACGTAACACAAAGGCTTCAGAAGCTTTGGTGATGTGGCAGAAATGTTCGGCACCACCGAGTCAGCGAGTCAGGAGACTGGTTGCGAAGGCGACGTATGACATCAGCCAAGCATCTTTACAGTGACCCAGCTGTATTTTTCCACAATGTCCGCGTAGAAGGGGGAGGATGCAGCCATCTGGGGAAGAGTGGTCACATGAAGCAGGAGCCACATCAGCAGGCAGCACACGAAACATGAGCCTAACGAGCCGAGTTGGACCTGCCGTGGACGAATGAGAATGGGAGAAGGAGATGAGGTTCGGTGGAGAGCCGAAACGCTGTGTGGCTTGAACGGCCGTTCCATGAAAAGAGGTCTAATCTCCAACCGACACGTGCATCACGCTTCGTTTCGTATCACCACAACAAGACACACGCAAGCAGAGTCACACAACAGAACAAAACCCAAGGAGACTGAGAGAGGGAGGGAAGACTGGAGAAAATTGGTGATGATGGTTGCACATGGAAAATGGCGGTGGCAGGAATGGCGCATGTACAGTATCTACACCACCACTCCCCACATTGCCAAACAGCCCTAACATGCTGAAATTAGGGCCGCAGCAGCAAAGAGCAGCCACATGCTTCAACCACCCCTCCCATGCAATGCCTTCGCTCGCCTCCCTCGCCCTCGTTTCTTTTCCTCCGCGTGACCTTGCGTTCCAACAGAACCAAACCATCCTCGTCTCTCGCGCTCGCGACTACATACACACAGCAGCCTTTCTCCCAAAGCTCACAACCGCAACTGGTCGGAACCAGCGAGCAGATTGCATCGCTTCTTCCGCACGCCGTCCGATGCCCCACCGTCGCGCACCACCTCACCTCACATCACATTCTCTGTTCTTCGCACTACGCTTTACCAGATTGATAAGCTTCTGTGCCCCACTTTCCAACACAAATCCCGTCCCGCTTCAATCCTCGGCACATTTTCCGCCAACACTCTCGATATGGCCTTCCAAATACCGGTCTCGCTTCCTAGTCTCCCAGCGTCAGACATGGCTTCTCTCGCAACAAATCCCTTCTGCCACGGCTTGTCCCAACCCTTCCTAGCAATGCCCCCTACGCTCAGCTCTCTCCCCTTTCCCCAGCTCCTCCACCAGCACTCCACTGCCTCGCTCCGCGCCTCTCCCTCGCACCGTTCCTGCGAGCTGTGCACCCAGCCGGCCGCCCTCCGCTGCGACGCGGATTCCGCGTTCCTCTGTGCGACGTGCGACGCGGCGGTGCACTCCGCGAACTTCATCGTGCTTCGCCACTCGCGCCACCTTCTCTGCGCGCTCTGCAGCAGCCCCACCAGCTGGGAGGCGCCCTCGCCGTTCCATCAACCCGCCGCTGTGCCCCAAACGCAGGTTCTGTGCGACTCGTGTCTGGCAGTCGGCGCTGTTAGCGGCATTACCGGTAACGCGGTCTTCCACACCCCGTGCGCGATGAGCGCGAGCATGGCTGCGTCGCTTCTTCCCCTCCATACATACGCAGCCGCGCTCTCTAGCTCTGCGTTCGTCCCTTCGCCCCCGTCGAACGTCGCACCCGAATCGCAGATTCCCGCCAAGCGTTACAAGGCCAACACGGAAGATCTTTTGGCGTTTTCCCAGTACCCGCCCCACGCAAAACTTTCGCAGATGCCATCTCAGCAGCAGCAACAGCAGCAGCAGCTCCCTTCGCTGCTACTCGCAGGAACAACCCTGTCGCAAAACAGCCTGGGTACAGCCAATCAGGGACAGCACCATTGCCCCTTATCCGCCTCTTCCTCCTCCTCATCGCCACCGGAGACCCTCCAGCTGTTCCCAACGGCAACACCGAGCGAAGTAGCGACAGAAAGTGGTGTTGTAACGCCTTCGTTAACTAACGGGACTCTTTCGCAACAGCAGCCCGCACTCGCCCAGGCTCGCGTGGTTGCCGACGCAGCGGGTGTCGTTCCGGATCTAAACGAATCCCTCTGTAACGAGAATCAAACGGTACCTGACGCCTCCACGGGAAAGCGACAGCGGCAGGAAGAGCAGGTAGCGGGTCAGGCGCAGAACGTTCTGGGGGGAAGCTGTGCGAACGGGCAGGGTCGGAATGTTCTTGGGCAGCTTGCAGCTGCCCGGCTAAAGCGCGTTCTTTCCTCCTGGTATGCCAGGCTGGCGCTTCGTGGGCCGCACGTGTCCGATCTGGCGTTTCACATCTTTCAGAAGGTTCTGCGAAAGCTCCAGCCTGGCCGGGTGGCAGCCGACTCGCTGAGGGTGACGCTAGCGGCGTGCATGTGGACGGCCGCTAAGCTAGACGACAACCAGAAGACGCTGCCTAGGGCGTCTGACGTGGCAGCGGTTGCCCGCGTGCCAGCAAAGCGCCTGCAGGCTGCTGAGCTGGAGGTTATGAAGCTTGTGGATTGGAGGCCCCTGGAAGGGTTCACAGGATTCCAGGAATGAGCGGGATAAGCTGAGAAGTGAAAAGTATTTCATTTCTCGATCTAAGAAGCTGCATAGGACATGTGTGTAGGCAGCAGCAGCAGCAGCAGCGGAAAGGTGACAGTATATACATGGCACAACGGGATGGATGGTGGTACGTGTGCGTCCATTTACCTCCGTCCAAGGCAGCAGGCAGCAGGCAGCAGTTTCCATACCCAGCCAACTAGGCAGGAGCATATACGGTATATTATCCTAACACCTTATAGATGCTAGAAGCTTAGAATCCTAGAAGCACTTTTAGCGGAGGTCCTTCATGGTGGGCCTTTGTTATGTTAACCTGTGCATATTATAATGTGAAGTTGATTGTACCATGCATTATCTCTCCGTTTTCGCTTCTGTGATTGGTTGAAAAGGACTTGAATGGTTTCCTGTTCCAGCAATTTCAAACTGAAGGGTGGGTGCCGAAACTGAAGAGCTTCCACCGTACTGCACCGCTACAGCACTCTCTGCAATTTACCAGGCCGCATACAGCCGCATTGAGAGCCAACCTCAATGCATCGCGCTGCTCTCAGTGCTCCGTTTTAGTCCGTGCAAAATCATAGGAGGTGTGACGCGTCCTTGCTCTCAGCTTCATCCCATTCACCATTCCGTTTCGCTCAAACACGTTGCTGAGAGGCGGATTTAGCATCCGCGTCGCGCAGCTTATGCCTGAAGCAACAAGCACAGACACCGAGATTATTGACCTCGTCGTCCATCCTCGCTCTCCTTTTCAACTCGAATCTTCCAAACCAGTTGTTCATACGAAGCCGCGCAGCCTGGGCGCTGCTGGTGAGGTCTGAGATCCTCCGAGTCACCGCCCGACCGGGTCGCGCTACACCTGCAAACAGCACTCGAATACTTCGACCGACCCTTTTTTTCCTCTCGCGCACGCCATGCGGCGTCGTGGTTCGAGAGCCGCGGCAATGTCGAGGTCGCCGTGATACACGCGTAGCAGCAAGCGCGGCAGTAGGCGCCCGTAGCCAGTAGCTGTAGCGCGCGTAGCAGCAAGCGCGGCATCACAACAGAGCGTGTTCCCACACCGACGCCGGTCTACTTCTGGTAGTTCCCACACCAACGCGGGTCTACTTCTGGTAGTTCCCACACCGACGCTTTCACCCCGTCTGAGCGACGTTTCGTAGCGTCGCGTTCGTCGCCATGTCGCACTTCCCCCGTCACAATGACGACGATCTCAGCGGCCCGCCGATTCCGAGTTACAAAATCAGCAGCTTCGCAGATCCCAGTATGGAGGGGCCGCCGATCCACGTGGCGGACGCGGAGAGGCAGACGGTGCTGACGAGTCTGCAGGGCGAGTTGATACGCGAGTCGTACGCTGAGCTGGAGCCTGATCTGGACAAACACGCGATCATAATGTACCTCACGTACGTACGGATGGAGCTGTCGATGTAACGTACTTCCATTGCGTTTCAAATGCTCCCGTTCTGCGTTACACAAACCCCACATTGCGTTACAAACCCCAGTAAGATCAACCCCTCTTCACCCCTCCACTGAACTCCATGATCCCATACTTGAAAAGTTCATGATCCGTCCCTCCTCCATTCCCCTCTTTCTCTTCACCCTTCCGACCCCCCCCTCCCCCCTCCCCTGCCCCCCCCTCTCCCCCCCTCCCCAACCCCAACCCCTTCTTCCCCCCCCTCCCCCAAACCTGTCTTTCTCCATACCCTCTCCTCCCCCCCCTTCCCCAGCATATTTGACATGGTACCGGACGCCAAGCGCCTCTTCTCCATGGTGCATTGAGGTTGTTTTCGAGGCACCCCCTTCTTCCTCCCCCTCACCCCCTTCTTCCTCCCCCCCTCCAGCATATTTGACATGGTACCGGACGCGAAGCGACTCTTCTCAATGGTGCGCGAGTCAAGCGAGCCGGCTCCGGTCAACATCAAGCTCAACGCACATGCCACCATGTCCTTCCGCATGGTATGGCGCTGGGAGAAAGGCGGTCAGAGCAGCGAGTCTCCTTTTCACCATCCCTTAATCCGCACTCCACTCCTCACACTGCCACTGCTCCCCACCCCCACCCCCCACTCCGGTCAACGTCAAGCTCAACGCACATGCCACCATGTCCTTCCGCATGGTATGGCACTGGGAAAGGGCTGTTGGAGAGGAAAAACGGGGAATGAGTAGGATGGGCAAGGGAGAAGAGAGGATGAAAGGGGAGAAGGGCGAGGGTAGAAGGGCGAGGGTAGAAGGGGAACCTGGTGCGATTCAGAGCAGTGAGTCAGAGCAGCAAGTCACAGATAACACTCACCCCTCACAGCACGACCCCTCCTTCCCAGCACCGCCACTGTTTTGCCGCCCAACCACTCGCCCTCTCCCTTTTCCCTTCCCCCCTTCTCCCGTACATCCCTCCCTGGAGCTTGCTCTCATGTGTGAGGCGTTCTGCAAGTGGGACGACCCTGCTGAGGTGGGCTTCGTCAAGGCTTTTCGCTCTTCCCTCCCCCCACATACCGTCCCCCCTCTTTCCCTCCCGGGGCATGCCTTCCCCCTTCTCCCCCCCTTGCGCATACCCTCCTCCCCCTCCCCTTCCGGCGCATCCCCACCCCTCTCCTTCAGATGTGTGAGGCGTTCTGCAAGTGGGACGACGCTGCCCAGGTGGAGAAATCTGCGCCCTTCTTCAAGGCGCTGGGCGGGCGGCACCTCAACTACGGCATCGATGGCAACGACTTCCCGGTGGGAATTTAGAGGGGTTGAGTCTAGAGGGAGGTTGGAAGTGAGTTGAAGGTGGGATGTTGTGGAGGAAGGGAGGAAACGACAGGCACCGAGTTAATAGAGAGTACGAAGCATGGAACGTGCAACGGACGAGATTGGACCCCATTTGTGTGTCCCCATTCTTGTCGCCTGCTTGTTTCCCCATTCTCGCCCCTCACCACCGCCTCTCATCGCCCCTCACCGCCAGGTGTTTCGAACGGGGTTCATGAAGGCACTGAAGAAGGCGTTTGGGGAGCGGTGGCACGGGGAGCTGGAGGGCGCGTGGTGTGCCGCCTTTGACATGCTGGAGGGGGTTGCTAGCACTGGCATGGCGGAGGGTGGAGGGTTCAAGCGCATGCCTGCCTTCATGCTGGCGTGAATTGTGGGTCGTGCGTCATGGCATGTGCTGCCTTTGACATGCTGGAGGGGGTTGCAAGCACTGGCATGGCGGAGGGCGGAGGGTTCAAGCGCGTGCCTGCCTTCATGCTCGCATGAGTTGTGGGTCACAACGTGCGAGTCGTGGTCCGTGGATTGCTCGTCATGGGTCATGGCATGTGCTGCTTCGAGTGCTCGCAGCCACCAGGACGGCTTGCAGCCGTTGACGTGTTAGAGGGTGGAGGGAACCTGGAAGCGGCAGGGTTGATGTGGAGAGTAATGCAATGAAATGGAATGTGTATCTTTTTAGTGTATTCACTGAACGCGCTCCCTCACCCATGTTCTTCATTGAACTGACTGAAACCCTTTGGGGATGCAAGTACATGCAGAAAATTTAAGACGAGAGGCTTCAGGTAAACAAGCCTGCCCAAGGCAGTGGTTTCATAAGAATGGATGTTTTCATTCAGCAATGCTTGCTTCCTAAGGAGAGATTTGCTCAGGTTGCTGTTCCAGGAACGAACTAGTGCGGTACAGCTGTGGGTGGGAGCAGGGGCCCGCGAGCACACGGGATGGAAAGCTGATCCAGGGACAAGCACACATGTCCACACTTCAGGACGGATCACTATATCGCTTTACCCAGCTTCTAAGCGCAGAAGCCAGATGCGATTCCCCAGCTTGGCAACGCACTGGGAGTGTGTCAGCAGGGAGTTGGGGTCATGTGGCCATGGGCGCTGGATGATGGAGCCATGCACCGTGCATGGCACACACACCTGATTTGATGGCAACCATACCATGCTACTCCTGACCCTTATTCTGGCCCTTCTCCTGAACCTTCTCCTGACCCTGTTTCATCAGCATGGCACTCCTCCCTGTGCAATGGAGTCATGCAGAGCATACACACTTGATTCAGTAACAAGCTACTCATGGCTTCTTCTCCTGACCATTCTCTATAAGCACAGGCACTCCTCCCTGTACAATGGAGTCATGCACGGCACACACCACCTGCTGTGTCTGCACCATCATATCCACCCATCTCTGATCCAATGCCGCCTTTCCTCCCCCGCCTCTCACTCCCCTCACAATCCGTGCCAGCTCAGCAATCATCATCGCCTCCTGCGTCCACGTCAGCACAACTTCCCTTCTCTCCACCGTTGATTCCACCAACAGATCTGAATTTGGCCATCTGGAACCCTTTTCAATCACAAATTCGACCTTATTCTCCTGGAAGGGGATGGTGAAGTCCTCGAGTGTGATTGTAGCGAGGGAGCCTGCAAACACATGCCGCTGCGAACTAGGAGAATCGAATCCGCACTGGAACAGAGCAGTCAACCCGTTTCGCCAGCACAGGTAACCACCGCAGCGAATCAAAACGCCCTCTTCGTTAACCTTGGGATCCGGGAGACCCAGCACTTTGTATGGAGGCTCGAAATCTGCAGCCCAGAGTGCCGCTCGAATGCAGTACCACCCAATGTCTCCCAAACACCCCAATCCGTCTAAATCCTTCTTCAGCCGAATGTCTCTCTTCATGAATTCTTCTGATGCTGGGAAGAAGAAATTTGACGTCACGCGCATGAGCTGCCCGAAGGATTTGCTGTCCTGCATGGCTGCTTTCATTTCGGCTGCCCGTGGGTTGTGCATCCACATCGTGCCGTCCATGATCTGAACCCCCGCCGAATCGACGGCTGCGATCATGGTATTCAGATCGTCCACATCCAGCGACACGGGCTTCTCTAGCAGAATATGTTTTCCGTGATTCGCGGCTTTCACAACCCATTCCACGTGGAGCGCAGTCGGCAGCGGGATGTAAACAGCGTCTACTAACGGACCCGCGATGACGTCAGCGTAGCTGCCGTAAATCGCGGCGTCGTCAGCCATGCCGACCTCCTTAGCGAACTGCGTGGCTCGTAACAACGGCTGCCTATGGCGTACGCAATGACATCAGGTACGCACCGCATCGCGCGCACCACCTTCTTTGCGATCCTCGCCGCTCCTAGGATGCCGAACCTCACAGGCACGGGGCTCAGCGGCGCCTCGGGTTCCGCCATGGCCGCTCTTTGCGGATGCGCAGCGGGCCTATTGACTCTACGACCGGAAATGCGGACTGTCCGTCTAGCAGCGAGAGCCGATCGCAGAAAGTGGATCGAACGAATTTTCTGATTTGAATGTGATGTTGACAAGAGACGTGAAATGGGTAAAGCGTGCGCGGAAAACCTTGAAAATTCCTAGGACAGTGTCAGCCGAGCAATAGCAAAGAATCGTGGCGCGACGAAGGCCGAGTCTGGTTGCTGCGGTGTTTCGCGGTTCCGAGAGCTTTTGGGGAGTGGAAGTAGTATGACGAGTGGTGGAGACTGCTCCCAGACTGTTGGCGAAATGTGATGTAACTTTTGCGCAACAGATCGATTACGTGTGCCCGACTTTTGGTGCTTGAGATTAGGTCTCAGTAAATACTCGTTTGAAGCTGAAGCACCTACCAGTTGTTCAGCCAGCATACTTTCTAATTACTGAACTGCCTATTCTGGGATAAGCTGTTAGGCTGGAGTGTTGGTTTTCTGGATGGGTCGGCTGTCTGTCAAATTGGCTGGTTGGCTACATTGCTGCTTTGCTACTTGGCAGCTTGTCCGATTTGCTGATTGACTTGTGGCCGCGGCATCTGACCATTTCTGTACTGTAGTTCCTGAGCAATATGTAACAACCCTGCTTCCTGTCTATCTCTGCCATCCTCACTTTTGTGCGAGAGAGGTTTGCCTGTCTCATGGCTTCGTGGTGGTGGCTTTTTCTGTATGGGCATGCATGCTGCATGCACCGCACCGCATGTTCAGTGCCCTGCGTTTCCACGCCATGAGAGCAAGGGACAGCACCTGAAGGAAGACAATCCGTCCTGCTTGGGTGTTTGTGCCCAGGCACCTTCCAGGCTGCCCATCCCACCCCACCCACCTATTCCACAACATGCAGGCCCATCCCATCCCATCCCACCACAGCACAGCATAGAAAACCTAAGCAAACCTAAGCACACAGAAGCAAACCCTGGAACACCTAAGGACAGATGAGCAAAGCAAAGCTCAGAAGTGGTCCATCTTGAGCTCTTGGTGGTGCCCCCACCAGCAAGCAGCACCCCACCCCACATGCCCTCTATCTACCTCGCCCTGCACTCCACCATAGAAGAGCCACTTTCGAGGAGAAGCTGCCATCGGGACAGCAATGGGACATGGAAGGAAGAAAAAGAAAAAGGAGGAGCCACTTAGTAGCTGCAGAAGTGAGGATGATTAGACGGCAGAGATTAGTTGTGTATTGTATTCACGTCAGATCGCTATTGAGAGACGAGCACTAAGTGAGAAATGTGCGATAACAAGGTCAGCCACTCCCCCTTGCAGAATCTCCCATCACACCCACCATGTAGATTACGCAGCAGTGCTGTTGCTGCCACTGCTTCCCCCACGGATGCTGCCAGAAACAGCAATGGGACAGATGGGGTGGAAACTGATGGGGTGGAAACTGATGGAGTGGAAACTGATGGGGTAGAAACTGATGGGGTGGAAACTGATGGGGTGGAAACTGATGGGGTGGAAACTGATGGGGTGGAAACTGATGGAGTGGAAACTGATGGGGTGGAAACTGATGGGGTGGAAACTGTTAGGGTGGAAACTGATGGGGTGGAAACAGATGGGGTGGGAACTGATGGGGTGGGAACTGATGGGGTGGAAACTGATGGGGTGGAAACTGATGGGGTGGAAACTGATGGGGTGGAAACTGATGGGGTGGGAACTGATGGGGTGGGAACTGATGGGGTGGGAACTGATGGGGTGGGAACTGATGGGGTGGAAACTGATGGGATGGAAACTGATGGGGTGGGAACTAATGGGGAGGGAACTGATGGGGTGGGAACTGATGGGTTGGGAACTGATGGGGTGGGAACTGATTGGGGTGGGAACTGATGGGGTGGAAACTGATGGGGTGGAAACTGATGGGGTGGAAACGGATGGGGTGGAAACTGATGGGGTGGAAACTGATGGGGTGGAAACTGATGGGGTGGAAACTGATGGGGTGGAAACTGATGGGGTGGAAACTGATGGGGTGGAAACTGATGGGGTGGAAACTGATGGGGTGGAAACTGATGGGGTGGAAACTGATGGGGTGGAAACTGATGGGGTGGAAACTGATGGGGTGGAAACTGATGGGGTGGAAACTGATGGGGTGGAAACTGATGGGGTGGAAACTGATGGGGTGGAAACTGATGGGGTGGAAACTGTTAGGGTGGAAACTGATGGGGTGGAAACTGATGGGGTGGAAACTGATGGGGTGGAAACTGATGGGGTGGAAACTGATGGGGTGGAAACTGACGGGGTGGAAACTGACGGGGTGGAAACTGATGGGATGGAAACTGATGGGGTGGAAACTGATGGGGTGGAAACTGATGGGGTGGAAACTGATGGGGTAGAAACTGATGGGGTGGAAACTGATGGGGTGGAAACTGATGGGGTGGAAACAGATGGGGTGGAAACTGATGGGGTGGAAACTGATGGGGTGGGAACTGATGGGGTGGGAACTGATGGGGTGGGAACTGATGGGGTGGGAACTGATGGGGTGGAAACTGATGGGATGGAAACTGATGGGGTGGGAACTGATGGGGTGGGAACTGATGGGGTGGGAACTGATGGGTTGGGAACTGATGGGGTGGGAACTGATTGGGGTGGGAACTGATGGGGTGGAAACTGATGGGGTGGAAACTGATGGGGTGGAAACTGATAGGTTGGAAACTGATGGGCTGGAAACTGATGGGGTGTTAACTGATGGGGTGGAAACCGATGGGGTGGAAACCGATGGGGTGGAAACTGATGGGGTGGAAACTGATGGGGTGGAAACTGATGGGGTGGAAACTGATGGGGTGGAAACTGATGGGGTGGGTGGAAACTGATGGGGTGGGTGGAAACTGATGGGGTGGAAACTGATGGGGTGGGTGGAAACTGATGGGGTTGAGACTGATGGGGTGGAAACTGATGGGGTGGA